CTTACGATTGCCCCGGGGGCGTGCACAGAAGTGCAAAGCAATCGTCTCCCGGCCTCGACCCGTCTCGAGCTCTGCGGGCTCTCTTCTCTACACCCCCTCCGGAAAGGGGTAACGTATCGAGATACACCGCGAGAGCACCGAGGGGTTGGATATCTCTCGACGGTCCGTTGTTGCTGCCTGGTTTCGGGCTCGATTTACAGCACGAGAACGCACGACTTACGGAATTCCCGTGGAAGTCCGATGTGGCTCTCCTTCCTTCTGCTTCTCTCTTCTTCGCTCCCGCTTGTTTGTGTATACGTCTGTTTACCTCCTAGCCGATTCCCAACGATCTTCTTCTCTTACAAGGGGAAACGGATCAGCCGGCGTCGCGGATTTACGGCGCGCGGAATTCGGACGACGCTCGTTCGTCTTCGCGCGTTACTTCCGGTAACTCGGCGAATTCTCTCTCTCTCTCTTTCTCTTGCTTTCCGCAAAGTCTCGAGACCGTGCCGATATTTTTCTTGAAGCAGACTAGAGGGGCGACGAACGCGAGAGAGAAAGAGGATATCACGACTCACGGGGTCGGATGGAGAAGACGCGCACGTCTGGGAAAAGGGGCGGCACTCCTATTATTTTGCGGTTCCGCGCCTCCCCCTGACGTGAAATATACAGCCTATGGAAACTTAGTTTCCCGCCTGCGAATTCCCGAGCTGTCGGCATTGGAATTTCTCGTCGCGTTATTTTGCGATTTTACACTCGAATTATAAGCAGATACGCGGCGCCTACGAGTTCGCCCCATGTCTGCTGGAATTTTTGAGTCGTTCACGTCGACGTTGTTTTTCGTTTATTTTGTGGCTTCGTATGGTATATGAATTCACGTACTTTTGCTATTCCTCTTGCTTACAGACTTGATTTGAAATTTCTTCACTGAAGCGTTAACACGAAAATGTCAATGTTAATAATGTACTGGTTTTTCTCAATTTCAAAATATAACATATATCTTTTTCAATCGATATGATGAATTACAACAATATCTAATATATTTACCTCTTTAAAGTCATAATATCAGAAAAACATCATAATTAAAAATATGATGAAATTTTTCAATTTATATCGAGATACTTTTTATTTTTAATGAATAAATTTTATGAATAAATGTCAGCATTTTTTTCTCCGTTATACATTTTTGCGTGCAATGTTAATATTTGCATTCCTGTGGAAACAAAACAGTCGTCAAGAAAGTAATATCTCTATTAATAATTATTATAAATTTTATTTTCATTTAAGACTATACAAAGAGAATTTTCTTTTAAAATTATGAGAAATATCAACGTATAAGAAAGGTATGGAACACGTTTCCACCGCGGGTTTATCAACTGAAGTTAAATTGCACGTTAAGAAATATGTGCGCTATAAGACCGCGGTTGGAAATTCTTTAATGATCCGCGATGGAGTCGGTCTTCGTGTGGTAACCGGAAACGTACGGGTTTACGAGAAGACGTTGGGCGCAAGAACGGGGGCGGTGCGTAGCGAGATTCTGTGACAAACGACGCGACTATACGTTATCTCGGAGACCGAGATACATGTCTCGGGGAGGAAGTTTCCCCTGTAGTTTCGCGCTCGAATTACAACGGGAACGCGCATTCGGCGGCGCTTTCTCCGAGCAAGTCGAGCGCCTTTTCTTTCGCGCTCTGTTATTCGCCATTCCCGTTTTCACGTGCCCCCTATCATTTACGCGTTTCTCGACGATATCGCGGTCGGAATTGAAAAAGAGAAAATACGCGTTATATATAACTGACGGTAATATGTCAATCTATTTCAAGTTGTACGTGGGGTATGAAAATTCCGGGCTACGTTTCGCAGAACTATTTTTGATCATTCGGTACGTCGAGGGGTTAAAGAAACACGCAGGTTAAAGAAATGGCTAACTACTGAAATATGATAGACTTGCATTAGAAGGAACTTTAGCAGTATTTTTTGAGAGACGGCGCATCCAGGAAGATGTATGAGCTCAATTAAGACCCCAAAGGCATACATCATAAAGTTTCGTCCGACTAACGTGGACGCGTGCAGTATGCATGCAAAAATCTGTTCGCAATCTCGAAAAAAGACTACGTTGCCGTACATTCGTCTTTTGAAATGAAAAAATGAGAGATAAATTCAATTCCTTTCATGTTTTTGCGCAAATTAAAAGCTTCACTTGTATATTTCAAGAGGAAAAGTTGCATTTGAAATGAAACAGACAAGAATATTTCTCGCTGTATATTTATCTATGTATTAATTTATTAACGTGACGAAAAAATCGAAGTTAATGATTTTACGCAGTTTAATACATTTTAATTGCCAGTTACAAGCAATCAAAAATTAAAATTTGAAAATGTACATTTCTAAATTTAGAATCTAGTTTCAAAATCTTAATATCTTCCCGTTTCGATAGTCAACAGCATTAGTAGTGAGTTAAGCCGTCTTGGTATTAGCGCGTGAACGCGTCGTGCCACAGAATAGTCGCATCGATTTTCGTACAGGTACGCGCGTCTATGTATCTGTATGTGGAAGCGGATTATCTTCTGATGCTCCGATTCGTCGGTCAGAACAGAGTTCTCCCCCGAAATTCATGGAGAGATCGATATTGAGCGATCGGAGCTGAAGCGGCGTGTCAGTCACCTTCGGATTCCTCAAAAATCGCCGGTTAGCGGTCAGTTTGCGGCGGGATCGCGCTCTATACTCGGAATACTTCGGATAGAATCCGAGAGAGAACATTCTCGACGTCCACAACCGTCGGCAACTGTCGAATTAATCCCGCCGTGTATGTACGTGCACACCTCTCTCGGAGATACGTCACTTCCGGCGTCCGTTCGAGGAAGTCGCGGTCGGCCGCAGCCGCGATCCCGCTCTCGCAAATACCGTTCGCGGATGGTGTCAGTTTTGCCGGTTTCTTCGCCAAACTATTCCGAAACTCCCGCTAACAGCTCGGAAACGACTTACGTCGATTTGACGGAATGCGCGCGGATCACTCCGTCCTTCTATTACCGCCGCGCTCGTGTGCTGACTTTCCCATTTCTTTAGCCCGAAAATTCCTCGGCTGGCGCAAGAATTTCGGTTGGCGGAAATTCCATCGTCTCCTCGATATCGCTCGCGCGATGCTCAGGATAGGTCTCCTCGAGCGACACTTTACGTGTTGTCGCTACGATATTTCGTGGAATAAAAGAAGCTTGGCTATGGCTATTTATTTAATTGCGAGTATCCGGCTGGTTCATTATTCGCGAAATTGAGAATAACTAGCAAATATATACTTGCTTGGCGAGCTAAGAAAAATAGCTCGGTATAGGAGAATTAAATATAAAGATTTGAAATTTATTTGGTCATACGATGATTAAATTCCTCATTTGGATTATCACTCGGTCTTTCGATGACGAGTTTAATTTTTGCAGTTTGCTTAATGAAGAATGAAGGTGATGAATGATAGATGCACCGCGGAAAGCCGTAATCCCGTCTCTTGGATTTCGAGATATAATGCGCCGTCGAAACAAATATGCGATGTATTTTGGGGCATACGTTCTATTCCGCTAATATGTAAATATATTATATGGATCTGCACAGAGTGTGTCAGCCACTTTTAAAATCCGTCGTGTCGCCGAACGCGATGTGTCACGTTCGAAATATTGCTCTCTCGAAAATGTCGCAATGCATTTTACGTGATGTTTACTTATTAAAGTCTACGAGCGGAGCATAGTCGATATATTGAACGCTTGCACGTATTTCCGGTGGCGACTTAATAATACACTGGGGCGATTAAATAATACATTGGCGACGTCTTACATTCTTGGATGATAATACGATATCAAAGATGTAATAATTATAAATAATGAGGTGAGAATCAATCAGTGAAAATTAGGTCTTTAATCGGTACATTTTACAAGTTTTGTGCTTGGATAATCAAGGCATTAATTATGCTGAATATCATAAAATCATAAATATATTATAACATTAAATTTAAAGTATATTATAAAATGATATTACAAATATTTTAAATATCAAAATTGTTACTTTCCATACAATTCTGAATACTACATATTATAATTGTGGAAGAATTATTAATTTATATATATAGGTCGATATTCATAGTGGTAAATAATTTTCAATTTTTGATTGAAAGCGTAATTAAATACAGATTTGTACTCATAGATTGTTATTAAACTATTTGGATTAATATTTTACAGAGAGAGAGAGTGTGTGTGTGTTTTGTCAACACACACTCTTGTTTTGTGAACTCGTGTTTGAAAAAGATCATTTGCAATTCATAATTATAGATAATCTATAAATGATTTAATTATATTTTATAATGGGTTAATATTTTTAATTATTATGTATAAATCTCCTTTCTCTTTTATATAATATTATGTACATTATTGAATTTTTTATATTTAATAGTAACGAAAAAATTATTATCAAAAATAAATGAAGACTATTTAAAATTATTTCAATAGAATACACGAATAAAAATATTGCTGAGTAGTGGTTTAGTAGTTGTAAAATTATAAGGGAGATTGTGTAAAAATTATTATATTACTCTTGTTAATATTAATATTATCGATATTAGATATGTAATTAGTATTACATTGTTGATGTTAAATATAATTAATATTATAATGAAATATTAATATTAGAGTAATTGATGTACGAATAATCAAAAATTCACGAAACTACGCTTCGTCAATAATGATCAATTATGAATTATAGATGCATTTAAAGTTGCATGCCCATATTTTTTTTTTTTTTTAATAAATAAAATAATTCTAGCATTGAGTGTATGAAATGTGATACTTGGCGTACAAATTCTCTGGCTTCAGAGGCAAAATATAGAGTTTCGGTTTTTCGGTCGTAGCTCGTTCTATAAGCTCAACCACGAGTCATACGTTGCGAACGATTATTGTCCAGAACAAACATCCGTGGAAGCTTAAGTATTGAATCGATGGTCTGTGGCGACCAATCCAAACTAATCGCGAATTTTGTTATTGCAGAAAAGCTGCCGGCAAAGCTACGAGTTGCTGGAGCATCGTCAACGCAGCACCGAGCTCTCGCTTTCATCGACACGGGTGAGTTTTCATTTTTACACTTTTTCTCTATCGTTTTCTTTCTGCCTTTTTCTCTCCCTTATTATATTATGCATTTTCTACAACAAAATTAAAAAATTATGTGCGATACTTTATCATGCGTCTAACAATATTTCTTATTTGAATGAATCTTTATCGGATATTTAATATCTGATACTTGATTTAATACGCTTAATGTATCTTTTCTTCCTCGACTATACATGGCTTCGTTCAACTTAAAGTCGATTTTTTATCTTAATAAAAATCTTTCAAGACATAATATTTCGTTTCAAAATTAAACATCTTGGTAATTGAGAGCCTGAAATTACGTTTCTGTCAAAGTAAAGTTCATTCGAAATTAAATGCAAATTTCTCTTATCTACATGCAGATTTCTATAAGAAAAATTTTTCAATAGTCTATTTTTCAACTCTCCTGCTAACATTATTTAATTTTTATTTACTTTTAATTCAAAATTGTTCCGATGTTGAAGCAAGTGGCCATTTTTTTGTTGTTTAGCTTTTGCTATCATTTACTTGAGGCAACGTACGCGATATTGAGACACGTTGTATTTATTTACGTAGATTTCTTTAAAAAAAAAAACTTTGTCCTGAGAATATAACGAACGCTTTTTCCAATCTTTCGTCTTCTTATCCGTATTTAAATACCGTCACCGCCATAAGAAAGTTTTGGCGCGCCGCCGCACCCATTACGCCGTTGTATCGATATCACGCTCGTAACGGCGAGGGGTCGAGTTGGTTGACCCCGCATAAAGTGTGGGGCTTGTGGGTCGTGTGCCGGGTATCTTGAAAATCTCGTGGGTCAGGGCGTGGTGTGCCGACGACGTCGGCGGGGTCTGCAATCAGGCTGGTGGTGTGTCTCATTCTCGATGGTGGTGCGTTCAACGAAGAGCCTCGTCCCGCCCCGCCGCGTCTCTCTCTCTCTCTCTCTCTCTCTCTCTATCAGGCTGGTGGTGTGTCTCATTCTCGATGGTGGTGCGTTCAACGAAGAGCCTCGTCCCGCCTCTCTCTCTCTCTCTCTCTCTCTCTCTTCCCTGCGCACGCACACACCGTTGCGTATCGCACGCGTTGCACGCAACACAAGCTTGAAAACCTATACAGCCGCACCCGAGTCGACCGCCCGTTCTGATTAGCGGCAAATAATACCCGTAACAATAGAGCTACTGTTCCCTAACACGGCTTGTCCGGCGCTCCTGTTTGTATATGTGCGCTGCATGTTTGTATTTGTGTGCGCGTGACTCCCAATGTTGGTGCGTGCGTGCGTAAGACCCTTTGCGCCAGTCTCGTCGAAAGATCCGACCGGCGCCCTTTGCGCCAAAGCCTCGAAGACACGAGTCAGTCAATCCCCATCTGCTTTCGATTCCTCTCAGCTTCTCTCTGTCTCTCTGTCTTCTCTTTCTCTCTGTGCGTGTTCCCCTTACGCCCTACGTCCGCAGAATTTCGATGATCTCGTGAAAACAGATTTATCGCGCCTCTTCCCGAGTTTCCTGGACTCTCTTGATACTTTTTGGTTCCTCCAGTATCGATCAGTATCACTAAATGCGCCATGGTTAGCTTGAATCGCTGTATTTGCCGCTTACGCTATTTTTTTCTATTTTCTTTTTACTTTCGTATGAACGTTGCGAATTTACCGAGATATATATTGAATTTTTTATAAAGTCGCTTTGCGGATTATTTGCACGATTTATTCACGATGCGAAAACAGAAATAAGAGCAACGATATACAAAGATTCGTTTTTATTCAATTTAATTCGTGAAATGAAACTTTGTCCACGCAACAATGACAATTGCAATAATGATGACGACGGGACCGACGTCGACAAAAGCGACTACGACAGCCCATTTTGAATTTTTCGTCGCCTGAACATTTCGTTATCTCGTTTTCGCTTTTGTTTAGCGTCGCTTCTTATCGTCGTTCTGGGTGACGAAAGTTATCGTTCGATCGCGCGATGAGGCGTCATCAAGAAATAAATGGCCGAGAAGCGAGGAGGTTAAGCTGCTTTTTCGCCGCTTAACCGCGCTCCTTCGTTATCCGAGTCTTGGCAAGACTTCCGACACATTAAAGAGAAGCAACGTTCGGAGACAGGTCGGGGGTTAAGCCCCGAGCTTATGGTTACGGTTAATAGTGGCGATTAACCCTTTACGAAGCCAATCTTTAAGCGCGGATAAAAAATCACGCGAGATTAGCGAGGAATATTGGAAACTCTTCGAAAAAGACGATACGACGTTGGCTTAACGAAGAAAATATCGTTTTATTAAGAAGATCGATAAGTGGAAACTTTTTACGAAAATATTACGAACATCCGTTATATTAAATCCTTTTGCTCTATTAGGCATGCATAAAGTATATCGTGATATAATTTATACGTTATTAAATTTTATGTAATTTAGTTTTCAATTATTATATGTATTATGTTTATTAGCTACATTTCAAACTATTTCTAATAATGATGTAAAATATTATAACGTAATATATCTCTCATATAATATCGTCCCAAAGATATTTCAAAACTAACTAACTCACATAATTGGAAAAGCTTAATTTTATAATTTTGTTAGATATAATTTCATTAAATACGAGATAGAGTGAGATATGTAATTTTATTTGTGTGTGTGTGAATACGATGAAAATTGTCCTCTAAAGGAACAGATACATTGTTGCTTTATGGAATAAAAATTAATGTTATATTATCTTTCGTGAAACTATATATCGCAAAAATATTTTTCTCGATTATATTTCTCTCGTGAAGATAAAACTATGATAAACTTCCTTATTAGTTTCACCTCGAGCCATTCATCTTGAAGCAAGCCGCGTTACCCCGTCGACCCAAATACATTCGATCCTTCGTTATCGCCTGAGGATCTCGAGTCTCAGTCAGCAGAAACCACCTAATCCCCCGGAAAGCCCTCGTGAAAAAGCATCGATCTCCAATTCATTCCGTCCCGTCCGTGCACGATCGGGCAGCGGAGCGGAAAGCTCGCCGCAACCGGAAGTGTCGGGACGTTCTCGATCGAGAAAGAGAGAGAGAGAGAGGCTCCTTTTTTAGAACGAGAATAATGACTCGAATTACGGTCATTTTCTGTGCGACCGCACAGGTGTCCGATTGTGCGCGCGAACGCCCACAGATACACGCGCCGCGTACATACACATATACACACACGCACACACACACACTCCGCATTGTGGTGGCTAGCCACCGCCGCCGCCACCACCATCGCCGCCGTACACGTGTCACCTGCATTTCCACTGCACGTCAGTAGCCGGCATCGCGCGGATATAGTAAAACTCGACCCGTGAGGTGCACGACCGCGTTAAACGCGCAGCGGTGCATTTGAAAAGCCGGATTAAAAAATCGGCTCGAGTGCCGAGAAGCGAACGATCCGAGCGCTAAACGCTCGAAAATTAAATTAAATACACATTTTAATATATACGCCGCACATAGATATCCCATCCAGGAACATATTCTGAACACACTCTGCAATTAATTGATCGGAAAATGTTGAATTATACTTGAGTAATGTTTAGTAAAAAGATATTCTGGTCAATTAGTTGTAGAATGATACATATGTAGTAAAAAAAGTTGACTTATTGTTAGAATGCTTTCTACAAATCCAATCACTCGATTTGCGATAATGTGACATATTGCGATTATCTTTTGAATCGCTAATAACATTTATTTAGACTGTCGTTTTACACGGTGATAAATCTACTTGAGTCAGATTATCGATTCTCGTCTGAAATTCTACACTCATTTCCTTCCGTTATGGCATTTTCCGATAGCGTTGTGTCCCACGTTATATTCCTTCCGGCTTTTCTGTCATATCCTTGCCCCTCGACCCTTGTTATCTCGACTTTAGATAGCTCGGCGCTCCAGGATCGGTATTTAATTGAACTCCTCGGTTTCCCCATTACGTGAAAAGCCTGCTCTTCCAGCCAGGCGCCGCCCGGAATATCGAGGTTGTCCCGTATATCACTGCCGGAAAAATTGCCATTGACATCCGGTCGCAGCCAGCTACTGACCGAGTTCTCTCTCAGGCGAGAAACGCGACGCTCGTTCAAGGCGATGTCATCGAAAAGAAGCAAGACGTTCAGTGCATCGACAGGACTTATCAATATATAGGGTGTTCTAGAATTGCCGAGCTTAATTCAGTTATAAACTTTTTTAACCAATTTTATATTTATTTTTTCTTAAACTATTTCGTGAATATTTGATTAATAAAAAAAATTTTATTTGTTTAATAATATATTTTAATAATCAATTTTTCTGCCGTTTGAGAGATGCCTATTTAATTTCAATAATTTTTTATGTTATTAGGCTGATTATTAAAATTAATTATATCTTGCGACATTCTTTCGAAAATGAAGATTAAGTGCTTTAGTATTAGCAAATAATAGAGATTTTAAATATTTCGAACGCCGTAATTATATACGTTGATCAACAACGGCTTAAAGGAGAAACTGAAATTTGTATTGTTTAAATAGCCTGCAATCTAAAAGTTAACATTGCGATAAAGCCAGTTATTATTTTTAATCATTTTTAATCTACAAACTTTTGTTGCATCGGGACATTTTTATCAAAGGAAAATCGATGTCAAATTTAACAGCAAATCCAGGATTTTAGGACACTAAATGCAGCGTGCAAATATGTTTAATGGCACGATGAATAGAGCCCGAAAGATGAAATAGACGTAACGGGCTAGTATATCTCTTGAAAAATTGATCGCCACGCAAAGGCGCGTTTATACAGAGACCAAAGTAAATCGCATTTAATTATTTCTTGGTTGCGCCGCAGCGGTAAAAGCGGATTCGACTGCGCGCGTGCTCGACAGTTTGGTTGGCTGAATGCACACAGCGACGATTATATTCGCCTCGAAAAACAGAAGGAAGGATTTAGCGCCTCGTCTCTCTCTCTCTTTCTCTCCTTCTACATTAAAATTCTCAGCTTTAGAAACACGCTAATTTTAATAACTGCATTATTCAAACC